TCGTGCCTTCGGTTGCTTTGAATGAAAAAAGCATGCGACCCTTCGAACGCATTGAATATAAATTGCATGGGTTGAAAGTGGTAGGCTCATCCGAGGTTGATATTGTTACGCGCGAGAATTTTTGTACGCGACCGTTGCTTAAATTTATTTGAGTAATTTGATTTTGTCATCGGCGCATTTAAAATTTGTAGTATTGCTGTTTGAGCTTTCTTGTGTGTATTTTACAGTCTTCTCTCTATCTCTCTCTCTCTCTCTATATATATATATATATATATATATATATATATATATTGCAGAAATTTTTTTTTTATGTTTCCATATTTACATTGGATAATAATTTTAGTTTGATGTGTCTCGTGCACTTTTTTTTTTCTCGCAGCAAGTTTTGTGAAACATCAATTGTACGTTCATTTTTTTTTTTTTTTCATACGTTAGAATGCATATTCCTGACAAAAGGTGCGCCCTTCTGTAGGGGGCTGTTCAAGAGCACCCCCCCCCCCCCCCCTTTCCTCCGAAAAAAGAAGGTAAACATGAAATAAAAAAAAAAAAGATACCCTAAGCTTAGGCGTACTTAGTGGCACTAGAAACGCCAACCCTGCTGAGACCTCTACTCTACGCGTCTCGAATTTCTCACCGTGCAGCAAACCGACACGCGTGTAACCGTACAAAAAGAATAAAATAAACACAGAGACAAGCAGAAAGCGGAACCGCCATTGCAGCGAAGAGGCTTCCTCCATCCATCCATCCGCTTATTTACCGTCCAGTGTGTGGATGCGAAAGGGAAACAAGGGAGAGGGTGAGGCAGTCGGTGAGTGATTTGTGAAGCCTCTTCGGTTATCCGTTAATTAGACGAGTTCTTTCATCGTAGATCGGGTCCACGGGCGTACTTCGATTCCCTCGGCCTCCGGAACGCCGAGGGGGTGTGCTTCGTTCACCCCCAAGCTGACAGCGCGGCGAATGCCACCAGCTCGCCGTACCAACCAGCCGCCCCCTTTAATCACCTGTCCCCGCTTTCTGTGCGCGAGGGTAGCTCCATATAAGCTCGTATTCAATGTACCAAGAACGGCAGTAAAGAAAGCCCGGGTCCTCGCAGAACGCTACTATTTTCCCCCTTCATGAGTGGAATTAAGATGTATGTTGGTGCATCTTAGATTAGATTTATCTTATCTTATCAAGACGTTTCAAAGACATCGTTTCTTTCGAAAACCAAACCCCGTGAGAACTATACTTGGCGCAGAATAACCAAAGCTCGCGTGCACTTGTCATTTCGACGTCATCGCAGTGAGATCGAGCGCAGACGCAGATTGGACCCGAGCGTGACGTCATCGTTCGGCCGGGCCTCGTGTCCAATCAGCGCGTCGAAGGACGCTCGGCGACTGGCTCGGGTCCAATCGCTGAATTTTGGGGGCCATATCCGAGTGGGGCGCCGTTGCACGGAGGTATACAGGAGGCTTTTCGCGGGCTTTGATTATTCCATGCGATGTTGGTATACGGGCGGTAAGCGTGATCACGTGGTGAAATAGAGACCAGTGATTGGTGCAACGAGCGCGTTGCTTCCGCCCCACGGTCAGCTTGGGGAACGAGTAGGGATGTGGGGAGAGACCCGGGCTCCGCGGAGGGACGCGGAGGACTTGTGGGTCTTCGGCCTCATAATCCGACTTCCGCATAACTGGGGCTTCCTTTTCAGAGGTAGCGGAAAAGCCGCTTCCTTTTTCTCGTCGGCGGAGCGCACATTGCCTCCCCTTCGGACTTTTTTCCCTTCTTTTGTTTCCATTTCCTCGCGTACTTCCTAGTTTGTTTGATGTCCTCGCGGGGGAACGGCTTTATGTGAAACTGTTTGTGTGTGTATATATATATCGCCACCTTTGAGCTCTTTTGGGAGGTTTGCACGTATACTGACCGTATAAAAAACTCTAGCCGTTATCAAACGTTCGTAGACTTTTTTTTTATCTCTCTACAACAGACCATCTGCTATATTACCCAAGCATCAAGGAGAATGCAGGGATTGGTGTTCAACGCGCCCACACGCGCACGACTTCCCCGTATAAAAGATTCGAAGTAAATAACCAAAATAAAGCGTTGACGAACGCGCGCGCAAAATGCCATTTGTTTTAGGTATTTGTTTTTGAAAAGTTACTACTGGTTGACGCCAGCAGGTGCGGCGCGTGGAACACCAATCCCTGCATTCTCCTTGATGCTTGGGTAATACAGCAATAGGTCTACTGTTGTGTTTTGTTAGTCGCATTCTGCAATGCGAAACGCACGGGCGTATATGAAACGCGCAGTCGTATATGCGCTTGTAGCATCGGCACTCTGCTTTTCGGTTTTCTTGCGGGTACCGCCATTTTGGTGCTCAGTGCACAGAGCGGACGTAATGGTAGTAGTTACGGTTCGAAAAGGCGACTCCCTGAGCGTTCGATGCCGCGTCAGGAAGATCAGGCGATATCGCTTTGCTTTGTCGCGGACTGTTTTAAAATTTTTGGTGGACGGGAAGGCGTTTTCTGCGATTTACGGACAAGGCTTCGGATACACTGGCAACAATGATATTAATGAACGAAAAGTAGGGGCGCAAACGAGCTGGTGTACATTGCACATGGTTGAAGAAAAAGTGATACTAAGCAGCAAGATACCTCAAATGGCAGAAGCGCGTATGTAGTGGCTCTATAGTAACCACCACAGTCGCCCTGAACTGGCCAAATTTTCCTCGCAGAGAGGAGACAGGTAACGAAATAATATGAAAGTAAACATACACTTCCGAACCGCGTATGAATACTAAATGGGACAAATTTGATTTTTTCGGTCGATGTTCGTTTATGCGAACATCTTGCACACTCGAAGCGATCCTAGCGGCGTAGTGTCGTGCAAAGTACCTTGGGAAAACCTTGGTCACAGTTTCGGTTTCGGGTTGCCAACGTCACCTTCAGGATACCCCGTTACGACCAAATACGGTGCTTTCATTTTCGAATGTGCTACTTTTATTAAATGTATAACAGTGCGTGTGTTGCTTACAAATGCAAATAAAATGCTAAGGTACACGAGGGTCATGCTGCACCCTGAAGTGGTAGCCAGGCCCGGCCAGGAAGGAATTCGGAGCGCAAGTTTGTCTGCTTCTTTTGCAAGGGTTGTGGTGACGTCAGAACGCCAAGCTCTGATTGGCTCTGATCGAACGATAGTGGGTAGACCTCAAGACATCTTGCTTTGAGGTATAGACTTCCTTTGTGTACTCTCGTCCCCAGCCACCCAATAGGCGTACCCGGTATGGGCGACAAAAAAAAATAATCCAACGTTTCAACTTGTAAATAGTAATAAAATAAGGGGAAGGCAAAACGATGATGTGCGACGGTTACGCTTATATCCTAAGCGTCTTCTACTGGCGTGGCAACGGAAAACCAATGTTTTCGCCCATACTGGAAGTGACGACAATTCAAGATGGCGGCGCCTTTGGAGAAAGGGTCTATACCCACTAACCTTCAATCAGAGCCGATTAAATCTCGGCGTTCTGACGTCACCCCAAAAACATGCAAAAGAAGCAGACGAACTTTCGCTCCGCATTGGGCAACGTTATTCGATTAGCTCAGTTACGGAACTGCTCATAGACGCTGCATGTACGAGCAGTACCCCCCTCACTCACCACGACTGTCCTCCCATCGTTCGATGTGCCGGACGGCTGCTTTGGTAGCTGCAGTATATTCTATGGGATACGTACGTTACGAAGCGCAGCCGTCTAGATGGCGTTCCACCGTACTCTATGGAACACAAAATTTGTAAACTAGAATCTAGATGGCGCTTCGAACAGCGGGAGGCGGACTGAAGTGAGCGACGGGGGTACCCCCTTCCGCGGGAGTTCCACACACAACTGAGGTAATCTAGAAACATTGGCATTGGGCGCGGCCGGTCCTACTCTTACTCCTCGCTAATCCTAGGCAGACCGTATACGCCCGCTGGATGTCCGCGTTTTATCGGGGGCTCTCACGAAGGTGAGTGGGTGTACAATACAGGCGAGCACTGGCTTTATTTTCTTCCAGTGCATGAAATTCATCGACGGGGCAATCGACATCGAAACCATGCCAGTCCTCTCCATGGCTAAAGAACTCCCATAACTCAACGTGTGCTGTGTTGCATGCCGGAGTCTTTGAAAGTAGTCTGTTTACTTATGCAGACATTGCTAGACTCACACTTGTTGACTTGGGATGGACGCATTTCGTTTCGACATAACTTGACGAACGTCATAAGATATGGCCCAGCGAGCCAAGTAGAGCATTAGAGCAAGCAACGTGACTGCGTACCATGAAGAGCTGTCAAGTGCTTCGTTCTGTCCCTCTGATTGGCTCGCAGAGGCTATAGCTTCACCCTTTGGCAAGTTATGGCATTAGCGAGTTTTAGTAGACCGTGTTTCCCACTCCGCTAAGCCCCTCCGCTACCCGGAACTCTACAACCAAGGCCATCGGCGCGCAGGCGCAGTGGCGATTCCGCGCTCCGCTCTGCAAAGCGACTGCACGAAAACGGTCTACTAAAATTCCCTATTATCAGAAAGCCATTCCCTTGCGCCTAATGGCAATGATTGTTGTGTTGACTGATAGAATTCTAACGAGTTTGTTGCCGTTGCTCTTTTATACTGATTGTGCGCCATGATTTGCGTAAATACGCCTGTTTATAACTATTTTACATGGCTAAGTTTAGCATGCTGCATTCCTTTTCGTCCTTCAGTATTGACGATCATTTTAATATGAAAGCGTGTATTACCCATGACAAATTATAACGCACTCTTAAATAATTAAAACAAAGTATAATTTTGATTCATTCTGATTTCTGCGTACTAGTTATTTCTGCGAAGACGTTAGCAACGTCTTTTCAATTAATGTATTGCCCCAGAAATACATTTGTGATGGGGATCCGATCCCTGCAGGGGACACATATCTCAACGTCACAATGTCCTCTAGTCAGTTCGACACACTTGAAGGGAAACAATAACAACAACAACAACAACGTTATTATCTCCGTTTTAATAAATAGTAAAGCCTTAAAACAAACAAACTTTCACGACGAGATTTGTGGTGCCGTCAATTCGATTAGGAACACGACTGATGTGCTGCAGTTTTTGCTAATGAAATTATTATTATTATTATTTACTTTCTTTTGCGCAGAATGCGAGTGTCCGTCGTACCAACGGCACGGTTACCTATTTGAAGGCAGGCATCTGCACGAAGATCCAGGACAGAAGAGGAGTTAGCATGACAGAATAAGCGCAAACACGGTCCGCGCGCTTAGTTCGTGTTCTGTATTTATTGCATGGTCCCGACGCTGTTCGCGATGCGAACATTCGGTTATTTTGACCCAAAACACGGCTTGTACACTTTTTCAGAGCCAGGCAACCTGTAATGGTTGCCTTCCAGAAGCTTCAAGAGCATGTCTGAAAAAGCCTGAGGAATCCGCGGACCTTTGGCACTGTACCACCTTGAGTGCAGAAACAGGATTACTTGGCACATTTAGGAGACTGTGCATTTTATGTGTGTCAAGGTATCACATCTGCGAGGTTATGCCTTGGCACACAATTGCGGAGTCAGCATGTCAAGAGAACACAAAATTAAAATAAATAAAATAGTAAAAAAGCAGAAGGACGAGTAGAAGACACAAACACAGTGCTGAGCGTCTTCTATAGTCATCCGTGTAAACTTTTTTTTTTCGGTTTTATTTATTCTGATTATGTAACGACTCGGCAAAATACACGCCCTGCAGCACAAGTTAGATCGTTGCTGGTGTTGCGAGCTACGCGGTTGCAGTCGCAGACAGCCTTCAGAGAAGCCATAAGCTCGCTTTTTCATCGCTCCCCTTCGAGCCCGTGCAGAATTAAACGTGCTGCGCACGAGTTCGACTCGCTTAAGGTGTGAGTTCACAGTCAGTCGAAGTGCCATTGGTATAGCTGCCCTTCAGGGTTCCAGAAGGTGGGATCAAGATTCGCCGTTTCTTGAGTGTCAGTTACTGTATACATAGGAAGGCTCTAATCGTTTAATCGCCGTACCAGCCAGTTGACGCACATCGCGATATATAATGCAGACATTTTCAAATTTGCTCGTGACTGTCTTGAGATTTTAGCATGGGTATATGGGAAGTCCACGCCTAACTTGTGCAGCGTGTTTGAGAATCCAGCGCACAACGTGAAACGGACTGCAACAGTTGGCTAGCGAGCTCGAAGATGTATTGCGTCTGCTTTCTTCTTGCCTATGCGGATTCTGGGAACCTTGTGATTTTACTACGATCTACTTCTTTGATTTTGCCGTTCGTTTTATGTCGCTGACTTGCTGTTCAGTGATCCGGTAGGGTAAGAACAGAAAACAAGAGTTTAGAAACCTCAACGTTCACATGGGCGTGGAGGTCCTTCCAATGTCTTGTGGATGCTCACGACAGGATTGCACTAAATGGTCGTGAGTACAGGGGCTTTAGTCTTGTAGGGATCAACAACGTAAATACCGCATCCTGTAATGTCCCGTGTGCGAGCGACATTCCAGGATGTGGTATTCACGCGCTGTGGATCTCAGGTCCAGCCGTCAATACGCGACCAGAAATATACCACTTGTTTCATAAACAAACGATTCAACTGTAGCTAAATAAAATATCGTTCTTACATTAATATGTTCCCCCCGTACATGACGACGCCTTGAACATTCATTACCACATTGCACTAAATGGATAAGCCTAAACCTATAGTGAACCACGTGACATTCCGTGGACGACGTGCGGTTAGGGAGTTTCGTCATCACACATATAAGACTCGCGCGCAGCCATGACGTAAACGTCGTTTCTAGAAGCACGTGACGATCGTTACCTTGTGAAGTTCCACGAAATCATCATGTCCATAATAGCAGGGAGTACCTCAAGACCACTAGCCAAGTCACAGAAATACGTGCGGTAATGGTGCCACGGGCAGGTGACGCGACGATGGATGAAGTTGCACAAAAGCATCCTGTTCATCATAGCAGGGAGCACCTCAAGACCAGTCGCCGAGTCAAAGACGTGCGTAAAGGTGCCCCGGTCAGGCGACGATGATGTTGTCCCCGTCCGAGTCTTCGGGCGTTCCTCGGCCGCCGTGGCTGCTGGCGCCGTCGGAATCGTCGTCAGCGGCCACCAGATGTCGATTCCCTTCATCGCAGGACTGGCGTCCCCCACTGGCCCCTTGAACTTGATCCTGAAGTCGTCGCTGTCGCTCTTGCTCTTCGCGCTGTTGCTTCCGCCACTTGGCTCGACGGTTCTTGAACCAGACCTGCGTTCAGGAAGTTCAAAGATACACGTCAACCATATCTGGTGCATGCGAGCTGAGGGAGTTGTTTTAACAAACGGACAGACAGCAAACAATGTTCGCACATGTGCGGTTTTGCCTTATTGCCATCTGTCAATGACCAGCGAATAATTGTTCGTAAAGGAGCGGAACTAGAAGATTGCAGGAGTCGGCAGAAAGTTCACTTTGTTATGTCGGTGAGAAAAGCAATATTGGTTATTTATCAGCCTATAGTTGGAGTGGTTGTGTCTCCAATTCCTCCAAGGTTATATCTGCTGGTGAACCGTTCAAATGGTTGCAGACCCCGCCGTGCACCCCCCTCCCCCAGCTGACGGCTTCAAGAAGCCTGCCTTCAGACACGCCTGCAATCTGACGAACGTAAGCTTGTTGTCGGCACCGTGATCGGATGCTGTGGTCATACATTTTTCTCTCGAATTTTCAACGTCCGGGAGGGTGACTTGGTGAAATCGCAAGATGTAAAAGCGATCGCAACCAGAAGAACAACACAGAGTCAAGGCGGCAGGGGCGGCCTTCCGGCGGCGTCTCACTCCCACTGACTGGTGTAGGCGATCGTGTGGCCGTATACGGTAGATTTATACTGACCCAAAGGCGTACTCTACGTACGCCGATTTTGTCAGGTACGACCAATGGACCATTTTCAAAACCCCATCAAGCAACAGTGCCGGTCGCATTGTCTTGCGCCCGAAGCGTGTGACTGGATCCAAGTCGTCGCAGAACGCTGACGAAGCGCTCGTGTCTAACACATGCTCAGCGTAGACGTATACCCAAACAACGACGGAGTCGGATAATAGGCGCAGCAGCTACTGGACGGCACACACTTTTGAAGAAAGGTCTATCACTGCTGGACTTACTTCCTTTCTTCAAGATATACACTTTGCAGTGAAGTTACAGGATATGTTAAGCAATAAATAAGCTTGGAGCGCACGTTGGGAACTGGTCCCCGCGCTCCATATGCTTCCCTGACCTTAAGCTCTCAGCGATTTTTTGGCTGTTTTCGAAGTTGAAGGACACCATTCGCGGTCGATTGTTTTCAACACGCTCCAACGTTTATACTAGACCTTTGCTACAATTGGCATTGCAAAAAAAAAAAAAAAAAAAAAAAATTTTAGGCAAAGGGATTTTGAACAAAAAAAAAAGGAAGTATTCCTTGGAGAGCTCATTTCAAGAAACCTACGATCATCAAAACGATGTTCAAAAATATGTTCCTTCGTTGTGTTTTTCTTATATTCACAAAACGCAATTTTTTCATGCGCGTTGGTGGTTCGTCTTTTAATCATTCACACACACACACACACCGGCGCACTTTTCAATTCACTACGGCCGGCGTTCCGGTTCCGCGGCCAACACAAAGAGCACGGCGACGAGTCCATTGGAAACGAGACGAAACCACTCAAGACGCCGAGTCTTCAAAATGCTCAGAGAGCAGAAAAAGAGCTCTGGAAACCGCGTTAGGAAGCAAGAGCCAAGACACCCAATCTAGTTTCGCTGCGCGCCCTCCCGTATATCCAATGAGCATCGAGGCCCCACAAATGAGCAAGCGACGCGAACAACCAGCTGTTCCTTTTGTTGCCCACAAAGCCGCGGGGACTTGAATCCTCGGCGCGCGGTACTCGAACCTCCATCAGGTGTCAGAACCAGGACCGACCTCGACGCACTTGTCGGCACACGAGGATCGTGGTTTGACTGCCTAAAAAAGGCGCAAGGTCCTCCAGTCGACGGTGGCAGGCCGCCCCGAAACAGAACAACAGCAAAGACATGTTCTGCGCGTGACTTCGCGAGGTCGGGGTTTGGATTTCGAGGCCTCGCCTGGAAGATCGCGTTTCTGGAGCGAGCGAGGGAGGTGGGGGATGAGATGTGAAGCCGCGAACAAAAGCGGGGTTTGGTCCTCTGGCTCGAGTGCGTTTTCCCCCAATTCGGCTTTTGGTTTTTGGACAGACGACGGTCGCTGCGGTTGATGGGAATGGGTGTATATATACACGCTTTCTGGACCCAGAGCAGCGATGAGGGTCTGGAAAATGAACTGTCTTGCCGAGTTCATGGCTGGAGGGTGCGTGAAGAGCTTTTGGTCGGAAAGCGAGAAAGAAATGGAAAGGGAGGGAGTTTTGTCGTGTGCCTCGACGCCGAATGACTAGTTTCATCAGCCATATATGGTCTTTGTGTTGCGTGAACTGTTAGTTGTCATCTGCAGCAGTGACCCGTTCAAAGAGTCTACGTCCTTGAAGATTCGTGTAATATTCGCAGTTTCGTTTTTTTTTTTTTTTTTTGCGTGTATGTTTTTTTTTGGATGGTAGAGCTGTTTCCACCTTATGGAATTAGACAAGTGCTGCCCACCTAAAGTTGCGTAGTCACGTAACATTCATTAGGTCGCTCTAGCGCGACATACTTGAATGTGCACCATTTGTGAGTTACTAATGCCACCCAGTGGTATTCCTTTTAATCAGTTTAGGCGGTGAGGAGGGCGAGAGTGAGAATGAGAGGGAGAGGGAAAGAGAGAGAAAATAAATGACTGTGGAGAATTCAAGAAAAGCTCCCGAAGTTTTTTTTATAGCATTATTATTTTTGCAAAAGTAGCGATAAAACATAAACTGATAAAAAAAAAAAAAAAAAAACACGACACACCCGTGTTTTTTTTTTTTTTTTTAAACCTAGAGAGTTCGTCGGGATTGGTCGCTTTTAAGAAAAGGGGCAACGAAGCGGATAACCATGACTATCCTCGCAGTTTTTGTTTCCTGCCGTTTTCTCATCTGTAGCTCAAAGTATCTTGTCTTCTCTAACCCGACATTATCTACTTTACAACCTTTTAAACTCGAAACAAGCAGAGCGCCTTTGGAGAGCACCTTTTTTGGTGATCTCCAAATAAGACGTAACTCATAGGACACGCACGAGACAGGAATATAATACCATTTTGGACGCATCCCAGACCTTAACGGCAGCCGGACTTTGCCTCGGGTCTATCTAACCATCGTCAGTCATAGCTCATCACCGGCATAATGCCAGTGGTCAATGGCATTATTTCGAATAACATCACTGGCATACTGCCGAGCGCTGCACCAGCTGATCGCTGCGACAGAAACACAAGTAATCCATGTTGATGTCCCGATGGGTTTAGTTCTCAACTTGGTCACTAGGTTTGCGACGGTTCTATCTCCTCCCCAATAGACAGTGACCGCTTAAGAAACGCAGGACATGGCCGCTTACGCTTCTTGAATCGGGATTGGTTATTTAGGGCGATGCCGCAATGTGACTGGCTGTGGAGTGCCAATCACATTGCGTAATGCCTATCACAATCGCCCTGCCATTTTTGGGCTGTCAGTGATTATAATTTCTTAACGATTGCTATGTAGAGTATAATCCGTTCCGATAATTGACTGCCGTACGTTGCCGTCTTTGTACACTGTGCTGAAAAACGTGTTCTGGGCATGCGCAGTACAGCTCTCTTCTGCAAAATATCCGACGCGGCGCATGTGTCCACAGCACTCGACTTTTCTGGTTTCTTTGATAAGCACTGAAAAGCTGTATGTGAAACGCCGAAAAAGGAGTATGACACTGTTTTTGGACACATCCCAGACGTTCGGGGCTACCCGAGTTTGCCTAGCGATTGTATGTGATCATCATCAGCCACAGCTATGCTCTTTTTTTTTTTCAGTTGAACTCTGACCGTATACCGATGGCCCGACGAAGCCAATCGGCACTCGGTGTCTTGTGGCTCTGCTGTCTCTAAACCAATCATGCACAAAATTAACACGCGCCCCAGTGATGCACCCGGCGTCTCCCATGCACTGCGCGGCACCAAAATCGGCGAAGGGAAACATCGCCGGCGATCTTCGGGTGTTACGACACGGCACCGCTCCCTATAACCAGCCAATCCATTGCGGCCTCAATTGCTACGCGTCCTATCGCCTAGCCTCTCAAAATATATGCACTTAGCCGGCCCCACCTGTCGGCGCATGCACAAGGTGTTTCCTAGCCAGTTTCCACAGCCAGTGGGACGCTGCCAACTTTGGTTACTCTAAGCCGGTCCAAGGTCAGCGCATGTACCAGCGCAGGATCGGGGCGCATTTACTTTGCGCAGTTGGTTTTAGTCGGTGATAGCGAATGCAAAAAGGAGATAAGTGCCGTAATGACGCAACTTTTTCGCTGCTTCATAAGGGAGTTTTCGTAGACCGCGTCTTCCCCTCCGCTAAACCCTCCGCAGCGAAGAAGCGGCTACTGCGCTTGCGCGCCCATGGCCTTGACTGTAGACTTCCGGGTACCATAGCGGGTAGCGGAGGGCGTCGCGGGACGGCGAAAAGGATTTATGAAAACCCCCTATTGACTCCCTAAGGTCGTAGCGTCGGTTGCGCGCGGATTTAAATTGGAACGGAACATGGTTAGTTCCCGCCTGCTATACACCAACACTGTTTCCAAACAGACCCGCGTCTGCCAACATTAGGTATGGGCACTGCGCGTGTGCACAAACAAAATCCGGGAGAGGAGAAGCGTCGGCGCATGCGCAGTATACGACACCAGCGTCGGCGTAGTGCTGTAACGTCAGAGAGTTGAGTCGGAGGCCTACCTCGACCCTCTCCTCCCTGAGGTCCACGCGGAGTGCGAGCTCCTCCCTGAGCCCAACGTCCGGGTAGTGGGTCCGCAGGAAGGCGGCCTCCAGCTGCTCCAGCTGGTCCTCGGTGAAGATGGTCCGGTGCCGGCGTTTCCGCCGGTGGCCGACGCCCGACGCAGCCGCCGACGCCGCCAGGGCCAGTCCCACGACGCAGCTCGGGTCCATGTAGGCCGGGGCCTGGGACCCCGTCGAGGGCACCAAGCGCAGATCGCAGGCCTCCGAACAGCCGTAGCCTGCAGAGAACGTTTAGGTCTGTCTGAATGCTGCGGATAAAATTCGGGAGAGCTATTGGGGAGGAGATGTTTCGGCGGCTCTCTTTTATGGTTTCTATCTGTGACGTCACGACCAGAATTATCAGTTCTTTTCGATGCGTCTGAACTGCCTGAACTAGTTCAGCAGCGCAGGAACCAGCGCATTCGATTCAACCGGAAGTTGCACGGCCACTGCACTGGCGCGTTCGATACTGTTTTTAAAAACGTTACTGTTTTTTTGTGTTTTTTTAAACGTCTTACATCTCCTCACATTAACCCAGGAACTGCCGGTAGATGGTGTGTTGCAGTTCTTTGATGTCAGACTGACCTTTTCTGAACGACACGTGTGTTGGATGTACCACCCTAGAGCCAAAAACCCCTGTTGCCGTACAACTCAGCTCATTCGAAACTGGTCAAAAGGAATATCGCCAATATGTGCGTATTGAACGCCCTAAAAAAAAACATGCCACCATATGATGTCAGAAGGCCTGGGCACGCAGTATAGGCGATTGCTGGCAGCTGGCTTTCCGAGGAATGTGGTGGTGTCTGTTGCGGAGATCGTATTAAAAAGATCGCGTAGTGAAGCTTGCCCTCGCCCAACGGTTCTCAAAGATAAACAAAAGGTCGCGGTGATACCGTACATTCACAAAACGACGCATGGCCTGAAAAAAATGGCCAATCAATCGAACGTAAAAGTAGGGTTTTCCGCACCAAACAAACTTAGTAAGATTATGTAGGATCACAGATCCTTTTCGTAAGGTTCCTTCTGGATGTGCGGTGAAAGGCAGGAATCCCTTTGTTGAATGTTCGGAGAAAGTATAGTGTATCAGATCCCCTTATCATGCGGAAACAAGTATATAGGTCGGACCGGTAGGTGTGTTAACGATAGGCTAAGGGAACACAAACTTAAAGTAGGAAATGGACCTTTTCCGAGAAGCGTTCTGCGCACGCGCGAGCGCCCGATGCCAAGCGGCGGAAGTCGGAACAAAAAATCAAGGAAATTCGGAAGGAGGCTGTGTATCAGCGAGTAGAACACGCAACTGCAGCATATATATAATTGTATTACACAAAAAAAGAACGTCGACGGAAAGGAAAACACGACGTTTGGGTGGACGCCACGGATGCCCCTCTTTAAAGTCGCGTTGGGCAGGCGCCGCTGCTCGGAGAGCGAAGAAACTGGTAGCGTAGCTCCCATTATCGAAGGTAAGTCACTTCCTCGATTTTTAGTTCGTGCAGCCACCGCCTGGTGCCGTCGGTATGTGGAAAAGGTCCATTATCGGGACGGTCATCTGTCTGATCATTGTCAAAGCTGCAAGTGTGTCTGATCATTGTCAAAGCTGGCGAGGCATAAGGAAAAAGCTGTGAGGCAAATAGCCGAGGCATATGAGATTAAGAAGGGTGGGGCAGCGTGTGTCAGCGTGTGTCAGCGTGGCTTCAATGGATCTACTTGACAAGAAACGTGCCTTCCTCAATAGACTACTTCCATAAAGCCCTGCATGCAACACGGCGCGCGTTGCACTCTGGGAACTAGTTGGCCAGGGAGGAGGGTGGCATGGTTTCGGTTTCGATCGACACGTCGACAAGAGATGGTTTTCTGGTCCCGAGAGCGTCATTTGTGGTCTCTAAACTAACCTAAATGGCCAGGCCTCGAAGCTTTAGCACAAGCCTGAGACGTATAGCTTGTCTTAACACATGCTTGTTGTATTTTTGTACTTGAACCTTCCTGTTACCGTTCCAATCGAGGTATGTGGACGAGCCAGTGCTGGGAATCTCGACGCTGCGAAGCTCGGGGATCTTGCTTGTATACGAATCAACAAGCTGTAGCAACCAATAAGAATGCAAACATCGAGCTCGCGCCTTTACATTAGTGTTGTTGATCAGGAAGTTTGTTTGTTTCGTGCGTCCATAGACGAAATATTACTTTTTGTAATTACTGTATTTCTTAATATGCCTGAGTATGCGAGGTAAAACTCGGAGGCGCCATTGAAAAGCTCAATTTTGATACACTTCTTATCTCTTATCTGTACTGACCCGCAGCACTGCACGAAGTGAAGTCGCCACCCGCTTGCATTCCATTAATATTCAACAACGCGTATGCACATAAAGTTATCCTGCAATCATATAGGCAAATTCGCACATACAGACCGTTTTGAAAAAGCAAAAGTCGAGCACTTGTGTGAAGAATGTCGCACCGTTCCCCGGAAGTGCGCCGGACGGGCATGAACCCCCATGCGCACCGCATAGGGGTTCATGCCCGTCCGTCGCACGGTGCGACATTCTTCACACAAGTGCTCGAACGAATTCAAAGCGCGTTTGACGGTTGCTAATAGCCAGAATATTTGTTTTGTGTTTGTTTGTTTTTTCTGCCTGAGTATGCCAAGATAATTTCAGACACACCGTTCAGGCGCAGATCTTGGGCGTCAGTAAAAGCTCGTCCAAAAAGGCTTAGCGAGGAGTAGGGGACGCTTGTTAGGGCCTCCGTCGTAGCTAGCCGATCTCAGCGTTTGCGAGAAATTAATCTTCTACCAGCATAAAATTCGAGTGGGAGATATATGATGACACGAGGAAGACATCATAATAATTTTTGTGCAGTAGCGAGGTCGAATTTATTGCGTTTCCTTAAAAGTTCATGCGTAAACGCTGGGCTCAACTTTGATACCCTGTGAGGATGCGGCTTTCTTTTCGCCCAATGAAGTAACAAGAAACGGACGTTTGGCAAACAAAATGCGTATAAGGCTCCTGATGAACAAATTTCAGTTCTAGTTCAGTGGTACTAGACGGGATTATTGAAATTGAGCTCGAACATGCACTCGTAGGGTGAGGTGACTAAGCCACGTCTTACTACGTTCGGATACGCACACACAATATCCGGTGTTTCGGAACCAAGGAAAGTGCCCCGGTCTTCGTTTTGTATCGCTCGAGAATGAGTCTGTTGTACGTTCGTGAAAAGTTAGATAATCGAAAACGCAAGCAGCGCGTTCGGTCGCGGAGTGATAGCATGACGTGAAGCTGCTCAGTCGAAACCGAAACTGAGTGGCCAACTAGTTCCCAGAGTGCACTGCGTGGTATTTCGCCGCGATGGGGCGCGTCGGTTTTGGAAGTAGTCCATTACGCGGCCAGGCATCGGGTTGGCTATAGTGATGGTGCGCGATATCAGAAACAGGGATAGTATATAAGTGCCGTTTCATGCAATAAAATCAGTTGTTAGTAGCGCACTGCGGTGTCTGATTCTCAGTCTTTTTGTCCTTGTTTTTGAGCGCTAACATGTATTCCAATTTCAGTTCAGCGTCCATGCAGAAGCAGACGACGAAAGCGGACGACACTCATAATCCGCCTTGCCGCCTCTGCTCGCGGTGCCATTTCTCGGAGCTCTTGCTCAAATGTCTGCGCTGTTCACGACTGAATCTTTGACATCATTGCATTGGCGCGGATTGCGCGGGAACTTCAAACTCGGCCTTTTGGAAATTGGTTTGTTAAGGCATCGTTTTCAATCGTTTCGAATAATAAAAAGAAATATGTGTTTAACCTGTCAGATCCCCTTCGAGCGAACATTGTCAAAGTTGACGGTTTGACGTTCCTTATTTCCACGAATGAAAGTATAAAGGCTGGTTCACCCATCCCCATTTTCCAACGTTACGTAACGTTAATAAATCTTGCGTACAAGCCACCGGAACATCTGTGCTTCATATTGAACGTGGCTACAAGTTCAAGGAGATAGTCTGGCACACGACATTTGGGACACGCATGTTTCGGTAATGGATGCAACAAATTTAGCAGAATCATTCATATAAACGATTTTGTGAGGAAGTGAACTTCAATCCTCGATAGGCGATGGTACTGTGGAAGTCCGGGGAGAAACGGTTGATGATCGAACTGGACGCAATTTACGTGAATGAGATAAACGAGGGAAGATACGGTGGGAAGGTGATAGTAATGATTCTCTGAGGAGGGTACTGTGATCGAAAATTCACGAAGGAGAGAGAGGTGTGACACTCGGCGGCCAAGGGAAAGTGCGCTGGGCTTCGTCCTCTCCTTCCTCAAAAGGCTAATAGATTCTGCGGGAGCGCTGGCTTTTGCTGTAGAGAAAAAAAGAACGAGAAAACTAAATATTAAAATCACAGGGGGAAAAAAATCGGTTCCAAGATTGGCGGAGAAGGTCTAAAGGAACGTGATAATAAAAAGAAAATGATGGGGTAGGTGATTTGACGATCGAGAGACGTAATTTATAGCAAAAGTGTTCAGGGGAGGGGAGCTAGGTGGCGCAAGCTACCACCTGACACTAAAGGTGCAGCCAATACCATCCGTAAAAAACAGTCCCGTATTTTTTTTTTTTTTTACGTCGTAAACTGTTGTGTGTTATATATTTTTTGTAATGTGAGCTGATTGAGTGGTTATTGAAGATACCCAGAAAGTTGCTAGTTGAAACCCAACCCTTTAAGTTGCTAACTAAAAAGTTGCTAGTCAAAAGTAATTCTGAGCCTAATTACATCAAACATTATTTATTTTCCTGAATAGGCCCCTTTGGCACAAATCAATGAAACACCAAACGTGTTTCTTCTTTTCTTTTTTTTTTTCTTTGTGTGTGTGTGCGATGCGTATCTTTTTTGCCACGAACGATTTGGCCCACGTTTCCAGAAACACCCCGAGTATTGTAAAAGTTCGTCGCTGTGGAGAAAAAACAACATTTTTTTTTGCCGAAACACAGCAATCTTCTATAATCGCCTGTAATGCGCGTGGTTCTGGATTTTGGATTTGGCTTCGGATTCGTGTCGCTGTGGCTGTCCGAGGTTTATCGTGTTTACGCGCCCGTTTCTATTACATGTTTGGTTCTCTTGCTCCCACGTTCCGCATAACGTCCTTCGGCTGGCTTAAATCCCGCGGTTTGGGGAAACATATCCCCATGCAACGCGGGGGAAAAAGCGAGATTTATCCATACGCCGGCCGCAGGCACAACGGACAGATTTACGCTTTAGATCAAAGCA